GAGTTGGAATTGACTTGATGACAGTGGATATATATGCACCAATATTCTATCTTAAGCTATTCAATTGACAATTGTTTGCCCTAAATGTTGTCTACCACAAAGTACTCAATTGTCAGAAATTTTTATTTTTATAGAGAGGTATGTATTCTTATCAAAATAACAAAAAAACAAAAAGAAAATAAATGTTTGTAATTATTTTCATAAATAGCTTCCATATTATAAAATTTGAAAATTTATGAAAGCACCAAAATACACTCATCAACAGTAAGATTGTACTGGAAATATTCATGAAGTAATTGCAAAAATTAACTGAGATAAAAACAGAATGTGTCAATCATTTATTTAGTCTATGTCTTTAATTGTTGTTGCTGGGTGCTGTCATGTTGGAATCAACAGTAGCAGACCCTCCAGTGGGTTTTCAGAGGCACTTAATCACACAGAAAGAAGTTGCTCATCCTTCCTTCACGGAGAATCTGGTGGATTCAAACCACATGCATCTTTCTGGTACCCTTGTGAACGGGTAAGGAGTTGTGCTGCCAATTCAAAAGCTTGTGTAAGTTGGGCAAAAAATGAAAATGATAAAAGAATTGAAGCCTTTAGCTTATGATGTCGGCAACGAAAATTGAATATCTTATGGATTGTCCAAACAAATCAGTCTTGGGAAAAGTGCAGCTGAGTGCTTCTTGGAGGCAAGGATGGTGAAAATCTGCCTCATACAATTTGGATATGTTTTCAAGAAGAATGAGTCTTTGTGAAATGATGTTAAGTTTGGAAAAGCAGAGTTTCAGTGAAGGAGAGGAAGACTGTTAACAAGATAGGTTGACACAGTAACTGCAAAGATAGGCTTGAAGATATCAGAGATTGTGAGGATGGTAAAGATTTGGGCAGAATGTGATACACAGTGTCTTCATACGTCAGAGCTCACTGGACAGCCCCTAACAGCAACTAACATGAACAATGACAATTTTCACTTCAACTTAAAGTACCTGTTGCTCATATAGTGTTTTCAGTAAGTTCCTGATTGGCCTAAATGATTATACCCTGAGCTACTAACTGAGAGGATTACATTTGTACTCACCAGAGTTGCCTGGCAATCAACTTGCTAAAGGTTACAACCTTGACAGCACTTGGAGTACGTAAAGCTCTACTCTGTAACAGGTGAGGATGCACAGAATCAGTATCTACAGCAACTGACAACAAAAAAGTATTTTCAAGATGTTTTCAGAAACCACTCAGAAAATATTTAGACCATAAGCTGGCCTAAGATGAATGGAGAGAGATGTTACACAGGAACGAGTGCTACGCTCTGAGACACAGAAGAGAAATTAATTTATCCAGAAAGAGGGACTTTATAAAAGTAATCCTGGTAATAGACATATCACAGGAGGCTAATATCAAGAAATATGAAGATATCTCCCTGAAGCCCTAATATTATTTACTACAAAGGCAACTTTATGGCCAAACAAGCTGGATAATACCACAAAATTCTATGCTCAGAAGAACCATGGAATTCTTCTCTGTGTTTAATAAATTCTTTGTTATTATATGGATGCTTAATAACTATCTTTGTTAATGTGTTTATCACCTGATGCCTTAGGAGCTTGGAAATTTCGTAAACTCAAAACATATGGCAGTTCCAAAAGACACTAAGAAATAAAGATAAACAGAAAGGGAAACTAGAGAAAAAAGAATACAGAGAGTAGAAAAAGAATCATAAAATATAAGCAACTAAATACTTATTACTAAGAGGGTTTTGGGGTTTGGGGGGGGTTTGTGGGTTTTTTTGGGTTTTTTTAATTATTAAGTGTTCTTGAAAAGTGATCCTGCAAAATGTCTCTCAATAAGGTTATTTGTTGCTGTCATGCTGGTTCCCAACTCATGTCAACCATCCACATTTCCTTTTACTTTCACCTCTGATATTTTTTCTTTTGGGACCCTGGTGTCATGGAGGTCAAGTACACAGCTGCTCACCAAAATGTCAGCACCACCCAACACGATGAAAGAAGGATCTGCTTCCATAAAGACCACAACCTGAGAAAACCTTTGGGGTGGTTGTTGTTGGGTATCATCAAGTCGCAACCGACCCATAGCTGACCCTCTAGCAGGTTTTCAGAGGCTGTTAATCACGTGGGAGGAGAGTGCCCATCTTTCTCCCACAGATCAGAATTGAACCACATGCATTCAAAATGTGTGCATTCTGCAGCACAGCTTCTTATCGCTCAAATAGGGTGCCTATGAACCTGTCTATATGACTAGTACACACACACACAAATCAGTCCTTTATTTGTTTGCTTCTTTCTCCCCCTCAAAGATTTGCAGAGTCAGTAAAATCCCCAGGGCAAGTCTTCTGGGTTTTTATACAGGAAAGAGACCATAAATAACCTCCCTTTGCCACATCTTCCATTGATAAGGAAGCGGGCAACCAACTACAGACTTATAGATATTTAGGAAGCTCAGGAAGCCAAAGGATAAGAAAATATTTTAATCTAGGTTAAACATTTAAACTCTTTTTTCCCCATGTCACACCCAAACAAACATAAAGAGATCCTCATCTCTTATCTCAGTGAAACCTTCATTCAGTAACACATCTCCTGCCAAAATCATCACTCAGCCTTTCTTACCCACAGTCTCACACACACTACACATAAATGTCGAGTTTCATCTGATGTGCTTCTACCTGCAAACGAATATCCCCACACGGGTAAGTTTTCAAACTCAGGTTCTTAGCAACTAAGAAAGTTTGAAAGGGTCCCTGGGTAGCACAAGTCATTTGCATTAGACTACAGATTGAAAAATGGGTTGTTCAAATCCACTTAGCAGTTCTTTGATTACAGCTGAGGAAACCTAGCAGAGCAATTCTACCACATACCATGGCAACTCCGTGAATCAAAATTTACTTGACAGCAACAGGTTTGGGATGTTTATATATGTTATTTATTTATTTTAGGTTTGGTACGGGATCCTGAATGGCAAATAAGATCCAATACTATAAATGAAAGATACAGTTTTCCCCAGATTCAGACCAGAGTGAAACCCTGGCTCTAAGTGCTTTTGTCTTTCTGTTTGCCTGAAAAGAAACTTCATTTGTAACTGTCTTTTATTTAGTTTTACATTCGTAGATGTTCAGAGTAGTAGCTTTTTTACATTGGTCATCTGAATCTTCCTTTTGAAGGCAATGGAGAGAGATAAATGAGATGGTACTGACTTCAACTTTTCCCTTCCACAGTCCAAGAACTTCCCCAAAATAAACCAGAGCAGTCTTAAGCTGATTACAACAGGGGTGGGTGTCACCAGTGAAAGTCGTCAGAGTGAAAGAGATGTTCTCTTTTCTGCATTTCACTTTGGAGTCCAGAAGATGAGTAAAGTAACTGTGGCAGTAGGGAATGATGTCACACAATGAATACAGAGATAGGAACCCAGCTTTTGGTGATATAGGCAGTCAGAAGGTCCAAACCTATTTTGATTCTTCCAGGAATATGTTTTATCATTTGTATTTTCAATTCTCCTAACTGGCTGGATTGGGTCATCCCAGTGTTTAGACTAGGGTGAGATTAGAAATTATGTCCTCTCTAGAATTTTGTTAGGAGACAAAGAGTTTCTTAAAATGGAGAGTATTACTATTCTGGAATTTAAAACTTTTTCATCTAAGTGCTTTTCCTTAACTCAATCACAAAAACCTTATGAAGTGAATAGGCTGTGTGTTTCCTTTACAAAATTAGAGAAGATTACTGATGATTAAAAAGGCTATAGGATTTTTTAATGTTATATAGTGAAGAAGTTGGGAAGTGAGCAATTCATTGCTTTTTCTTCACTGAGACATTTAAGAGAATTAAAATAATTTGTGAAAATCCACACAATAATCTCATAAAAGAATCAGAACTACAATTAAAATTTCTTGGTGGCATGCAAGCCCATTGTTCTTTTAAGTATGCTATACTACTGAGATAGTATGTATTTTATAAGTTTTCTTGGAAAAAATCAAGATTTATTTAATGTTGGCACCTCCAGGACACTGAAATCTTCAGATTAGTCCATCAGCTTTTTTTCACCACTTGACATTCTGATTTGGACGTCACACCCAACCATTGTACTGATAGTCACGCATGCCATGTTAGTTTGCCATGGATGGGAGTGCAATCTCTTGCTTTCTTCTGCTGTGCTAAGGTGCTGGCACAAATCACTACAGATATTCAGGAATGAAGCATTTCACTATATCCAAGATGTCTAACCATTTCTTTCCAAGCATGTGAAGTGAAATTTAAAAAGAAACTATTATTTGAACATTGGGGAAGGCTAGATACAAACATCAAAAAATAAGGTTAATTTAGAATTACAGCTTTAAATATAAAAATATATTAAAAATATATTTAAAAAATAGAAACATAATACTGAAAGGTGAAAAATAAGCTTTTTGCGTGAAGATGGATCAAAATATTTATACCTTAATCAAAGATCATGATATGAAAATTATAAGGAGATACAGCCATTAACACAAATGTTGGTCCATAATGAAAGAATGAACAAAATAAAACATATTTAAAACTCCATTAAGGATTGATTTAGAAGGAAGGCTACTTGAAGTAGTATTTTTCCAGGGGCTTAAAAGATAAAGGGAAGATAAACGAATAGAAACTTCCCTTGAATTAGCAATAGTATGACTAAAAAGTGCAGCAAAATATCCGTAGATACATGTGGGCAACATCAGTAAGTGATTCACAGGTATAGTCGGAAACAAGTCTGGAAAAGTCAGAGGCAGAGGACTAGATGCCTATTTTGGTACTTGAAATTTGAAATAAGAAACTCAAAACGTCATTTAGGAAGGAAACAGCAGAGAGAAAGAGAGTGAAAAAAAAAAGTGATAAAATGTGTGAATATTTTAAGAAGTCAATAACAATACATCTTTTTCTTTTCGCAGTCTGAAAAGAATGTTTTCCAGGATTATCATTTTATGTTAATGAACTGAATAACACACACCAACACTCTCAGGACAAACCCTTCATTTGCCAAGCAGCATGTCAGCTTCCAACATCAGTGATAACAGCCTCCCCGACACTCTGTTTCTGACGGGGATCCCAGGAATGGAGGACAGCCACATATGGATCGGTATCCCATTTGGCATTGTGTATGTGGTGGCACTGGCTGGGAATGCTGCCCTTATCTTGGTTATTGTGACAAATAATGCTCTTCATGAGCCCATGTATCTCTTCCTGTGTCTTCTCTCCCTCACTGACCTGGCCCTCAGCTCCACGACAGTGCCCAAGACACTGGCTATTTTGTGGTTCCATGCTGGTGAGATTTCCTTTAATGGTTGCCTAGCCCAGATGTTTTGTGTCCATTCTATCTATGCTGTGGAGTCCTCAATTCTTCTGGCCATGGCCTTTGATCGATATGTGGCTATCTGTGACACTCTGAGATATACAACCATCCTCAACCATAGCGTCATAGGTAGAATTGGCTTTGTTGGGATATTCCGTAGCATAGCAGTTGTTTCTCCATTCATCTTCTTGCTGAAGCGATTACCCTACTGTGGGCACCGTGTCATGGCACACACTTACTGTGAGCACATGGGCATTGCTCGCCTGGCCTGTGCCAACATCACTGTCAACATTGTCTATGGGCTGACTGTTGCCCTGCTGGCTGTGGGTTTAGATTCTATCCTCATTGCCATCTCCTATGTCTTTATCCTGAGATCCGTCTTTCGCCTGCCATCTCGTGATGCCCGGAGCAAGGCTCTGAGTACCTGTGGCTCCCACCTTGGGGTCTTTCTTGTCTTCTACATTCCTGCTTTCTTCTCATTCCTCACTCACCGCTTCGGTAGACACAGTGTTCCCAAGCATGTACACATCTTTCTGGCGAATCTCTATGTTCTGGTGCCTCCTGTACTCAACCCAATCATCTATGGTGTCAAAACCAAGGAGATCCGGAGTCGGCTTCTTAGAATGCTTCACTTGAGGAAGGACTTAGTGTGAGTTCTGAACTGAAGTTGGATATAAGAAAAAACGGTGAAGGGGCAGTTGAGCTATCTAGTACCATGGACAGAGAAGTTGTTGAGCATATCATCCTATGACGTAGGAGAGTTAGGTTTACTGGAAAGGGATTTCCAAAGGAAGAAATGTCAAATTGATTAAATAAAATAAAACATTTTCTCTCTCATATCAGAAGCAGCTGTGAATTACCAAAGAGGAAGGCTGTTCTGGATCCACAGAAGAGTCTACTAAAAAGACAAATGGAAAACAAAACAAACAAACAAAACCAGGAAGGGTGAATTGTAATCTGAACTCTACCATGCTGGGTAAAGAGTAAGAGATTATAGGCCTTGGTTTCAACCCATATTCTTCCACTCATTTGTTTTATGTTCTTACTGAACAAATTTATCGACCTTTTTGAGCCTTAGCTTGTCCAACTATAGTTCTAAAGGGAACTTAAAAGGCAGGGTGATACTGAGCATAGATCAATAGTGAATAATTTTGTAAAACACAAGGTATGAATGGGAATGATCATATGAAACACGCTGTGTGTTAAGGGATGTGTGAAATACAATGCACATGAATGAGACACAGCATATACAAATTTTGTATGCAAACCAATATATTATTTTTTAAAAGCATAAGTTTGTGTTAAAAATCAATTTTAAAACTTAGAACACATAATGGTCATGAATTTAAAAAATATAGAGAATAGATTAAACTTTCCCAAGATTTGTTATTTAATTTAAAACTTTTTAAAAAAACAACAAATTCAGAGGCTATCATAATTCAATAAATGTGTAACTCTCAATGCACATAATGCATAAAAATAAATTACATAGCACCTCTTTAAATAGATTATACTTAATATATTATTCTGGTGGTACCTGCCATCAAGTCAGAACTGATTCATAACTGACCCTCCAGCAGGTTTGCAGAGGCAGTGAAGCATACATGAGGAGATGGCCCATCCTATCTCATGGAGCAACTGCTTGATTCTGATTTGGAGTAGCTGATAGAATTGAACTGTGTGCCTTTGGGACTGCAGAGTAGTTTCTTACCAGTAGGCCACTAGAGCTGTCAATAAAAAAATGCTATGTCATTCTTTCATTTAAGATCCCTTTTTAACCATAAAGAAGTTTCTTAGCAAGGATGCATGACAGTACACTAAAATCCCAAGAGCCTTTCTCTATAACCTCCAGTTTCCTTAATAACCTCATTTACTAAAATAGAGTTATTAGTTGGAGTTTAACTTTGTGGATTTCAATCTTTTTCAACAAATTTGGAGAAGATTTTATGAAGAATTTTTCAAATATTCTTTCTTCTTCCTTTCTGGAACTTCTATTATGTATATATATTAGCATGTCAGATTATCTCACAGGTCTCTGAAGCACTTTTCATTTTTTCCTCACTCTTTATCTATATCTCATATTGAAAATTTAACTCATTTTCTAGTTGGATGGCTTTTTTCTTTTGCCTGTTCGAAATATCTGTTGATATATTTTACATGTTGTACTTTTCAAACACATACTTTCTACTGGTTTTTAAATAATTTTTATCCCTCTATTGACAAATTTGATTTGGTGAAAAATCATTATCATTATCAAGTATTCCGTTTGTTCTTTAGGCATATTTTCTATTAATTTTGTGAACATATTTATAATAATTGACTTACCATTTCAAAATCTCTATTTGACATTCATCAGAGATAATTGTTGCAGTTTATTGTGAATGGGTCATAATCTTATTTGTATATCATAGACTTTTTTTTATCAAGATTTTAAATTAAAAGATATGGTTACGTAAAAATGTGATGTTGTTATTTACCATCAAGTTGGAACTGACTCAAAGCTGACCCTCCAGAATATCTTCAGAGGCAATAAATTGCATTGGGAGTAGATTGCCCAATTTTCACCTGTAGAGAGCTGGTGGATTTGAGCTGCACATCTTTGGGTTGGCAGTGCAACTCCTTACCATTAAGCTAGCAGAACTCTCTATAAAATAGTAAAAATGTTGTTGCTGTTGTTGTGTTGTTACATGCTATAGAATTGAGATGACTCACAGAGATTCTCTGAGTAACACTTCTGAATCCTGTCCTGTCCTGTACAGTCCTCACCATCTCTGACACACTTGAGCCATTGCTGCAGTCATCATTTCAATCCATATCAATGGAGGTTTTCCTCTCTTTTGCGCACCCTTCCAAGCATGATATCCTTTTCCAAGGAATAGCCTCTCCTAGCAACATGTCCAAAGTACAACAGATGAAGCTTTTGCCATCCTTACTTCTAAGGAGCCCTCCAGAAACTCTTTACCATTGAACCACCAAAGCTCTCTATAAAATACTAAAATTAGGAACCCCTTTTACTCTGAATAGAACCACTTTTTTCACACATAGTTGTTGTTGCTATTTACCATTGAATGGCAGTTTAGTAAATTTCTTAACTATTCAAGAACATGTAAATTCTGTTTTGTGTGGCAACTGATGATGGGACAGAGGTTGACTTAAATGCTTGCTGACATATCTCTCAGTCTTCGCTGAGGTGTTGTATGTGCATAATGAGGCACATCATTAGCACGATCAGGCGGGTTACAAATCTGCCTTTCCTTTCAGTCCCCACTGTGCAGAACCTAAAGTTGTGCCAGAGCTGAGAAGTTCAGACCTTAGCAGGTACTATTTCATCATGCTATTCATTCAGGATAGAATCTATGTAGTCCTACCTATGATGGACAGTGTTTAGTGAAGTTCCTATATTAAGACAGGCTTGGAAGCAGGAGTGGCACCCACTTCCTAAGCAACATGCCTCTGGAAACCATGGACTTAGAGAAACGATGAAAGATATAGAACCAGGTTCAGGTCTTTTGTTCATAGGGTCGCTATGAGTTGTGTTTGACTCGTTGGCACTAAACAACAACAACAGACATGTGTATGATGTTCTACATTTCAAAATCACCTGAAAGATTTTTCTAAACATCTGTGGGCATCTCCTTAAGGAGTTCTGATAGTGTAGTGGTCAACATGTCAAACTACTAATCAAAAAGTCAGTGGATCAAATCCACCAACTAACTGTTCCATGGGAGGAGAATGAACAGTCTCCTCTAATAAAGATTTACAGCCTGAACATGGAAATTCTGTATGGCCCAGCTAGTCCACTGCTAGGAATACCTCAAGGAATATAGAACTGAGACACAAATGGAGAGTTCTACACGGATGTTTATAGCAATGTTATTCACAATAGTAAGAAAATGTAAGCAACTGAAATGTCCATCAACAAACAAATCTATTGAGAAATTATTATATATTTACACAAGGGAATACAATGCAGCACTAAGGAATAATGAATTCATAAAATACTGTATAACATGGGAGAGGCTAGAAAGTATTATGCTGAGTGAACTAGCTCAGTCTCACAAGGACAAATACTGCATAAGACCATTACTGTAAAAATAGAAATATAACTAGTAATATGTGTATAAACGTCCATGGGGGAGGGGAGGGAGAAAGGGGATAAAGGCTGAGGGAGTGGAGAAATTACTGGTAAAGCAGAATTTGGTGAGTAGAGGAAGGTGGTGAAGGGATTAAGAAAGATCTAGTGGAGACCTGAAAAGATGGGACAATAAGAGGTATAGATCAATTGTGATGTATTTTCTAAAACACAATGTATAGGAAACCCAATATGAATGAAGGAATATGTGAAACAGAATATATATGAATGAAATCTAATGTATATGAATTTTATATTCAAACCAATAAAATTTAAAAAGAAAGATTTACAGCCTAAGAAACTCAATGGAGGCTTAGTATGAGTTGGAATTGACTTGGTGACAGTGGATAGACACCTCATTTACCAATATTTCATCCCAGGATTTTTAGTTGACAAAGTTTTGCCCTAAGTATTATCAACCACTTCAAGCACCCACAAAGTAATCAATTACCAGTTATTTTACTTTTACAGAGAGGCTGTATATACTTAACAACAACAACAAACCCCAAGATGAAATAAATGTGTTTTCAAAGATTTGAACAAAAAAAATTTTGTATCTTATAACTTGAGAATTTATGAAAATGTTGAAATATATTCTTATCATTATATTCTACTGTAAGTACTTCATATAAGAGTTGTAAGAATTAAATGAGATAAAGAATAGAGGATCTAAGATTTTGTCTACATTCTTAATATTATTTTTCCATTCGACCTATACAGTAGTTTTATTGCAAATATTGAAAATAATTGTGTCCTTTTTAACAATTTCATGCATATTTTTATTGCAAAATGTATAAAAAAGAATCATAATAACATTGTAATGCTTAAAAAGTGGGTAAATCAATGTACTTCATGGGGAAAAAAGTAGTAAGTTCTAATAGCTAAGAAAAAAATGTGTTCATGTACATCTTTTTTTAATAAATTTTATTAATTTTAATGAACATTTACAGAGATTTTGGGTTTCCATTCATTCATTATTGCACTAGTTCATGTACATCTTAATGGATAATAATGACTTGAAAATATCTAGAGTATTTAGCTTCCAAAGGTTACAACTCGGTGGCACAGTGGGTAAGGTCCACCAATGGCTTCGCTGGACAAAAGACAGACAATCTCCTCCTGTGCAAATTACATATTCCAAAAATTTATTGGAAGGTCAGCTATGATGAGTCAGTTGCAACTTGACAACAGTTTGAGTTTTGTGAGGATACAATTGAAATTATGATATGTCAGGTTTGGGGTTTGTATTTTTAAAAAAAAAATAACCCAAACAAAACAAAATGCCCAACCATTTCTACAATATACTGGAATTTGTTTCTATTTATATTATTTAAACTTCTAACCATTTCTTTCTTATCAATTTAAACTATCTTAGAGGACATATACTGTTTTCAAAATTCTTTAGAGTTGCTGTGGTTAGGAGCCGCCGAGTGGACTATGACTCATAGTGACTCTATGAACAACAGTTCTGAACCTTTCCCTAGAACAACTGATTGGTTTAACATGAAAGAGGATGCATGTTCCAAGGGAAGCAACTGATGTACATCGAAGACATGGAGGAGAATTTAATGTATATTGGGAATGAGGCCTTGGTGGAAAGAATGTTTAGTAGAATAATTTTATGGATGATTATTGTCAGATATAAGAGAATCTGGAAAGAGTACTGATGCCGTTCACCTCTAAGGCTAGCATCATGAACCCTTATCTGAGGTAACTGCCAGGACTTCACTCAGAAGGATCCTATACTTTGTTTATTGCTCTCTTTTATCATCTTATTGCTGTTGTTGTTGTTCTTAGGTGTCATTGAGTTGAACATGATTCAACAATATATGAACAACACATTGTGTAGCACTTACTAATTTTCTTTGCCCTTCTTTGCTAGTAAAGTTGATAAAGCAGTGAAACGTATATATGTCTACTATCATCCCTTGTCATGTCTGAGCTCAGAAATCAGTAGACACAGTGTATATTAATTCAATGATACACAGAAAAGTGGGCAAAAGGAAATAAAAAGTAGAAACAGAAAGAAGTAAAAAACTAGGAGTAGAGGGGGAGAATAAACTATGAGTAAGCATATTACCGCTTATTTGCAATTACTTTTAAAAGTCAATGAAAAAAATTCTCTCTCTCTCTCTCTTTCATTTACCACTCCTGCTCTTGATTGCTCCTTCTATATGTGTACCACAAATCAAATCCCTTTGGTAGATCCCTCGAGTTTTCACATCTGAAAGTCACAAAGGGAGACAATAAAAACCACCACCTACAAAGCCTTGAACAGAGAAGACTGGGACCCAGAACTGAACTAAAGGCATTTACTATTCCATAAAAACAAGGACAGATCAGGCATTTCAACTCAAATTGCATATTGAAACTCACCTTTCTCCCACATGTTATACCCACATAAATCGGCACAGAAAGATAGTTTTCATCTCCATAAATACATCTTCAGAAGCCATTTGCTGCCTAACACTGCCCACTGTCGCATCCATATAGTATATAGTTTCATTTCATATACTCATACAGTCTCACAATCATATACTACATAATTGCCAATCAAGTGTGTGTGCGCAATCAGCAAATGCATGTCTCCCATACAGGTATGTTCTTGTATTCTAATTCCAACGTAACTATTTGAAAATTAGTTATGTTTTTTAGGTCTGTATCAAAAGGGAAGATCTCTTTCAAAAGATCTGTATTACTTTTAACTTAAAGATTTAAAGGGCAGTAATTTAGAATGTTGCCTTATTGTTGTTAAAACTGAAACCCCATCTCAATGCACCTTTCCTACTGTTTTCCCTGGAAGTCAAGCCATATTGTCCCCTAATTTTTGTGGTCATATTTACAGGTGTTTATCAAGCAGCAGCTTTCTTATGATGATTGTATGAAATCATCCTTTGAACTCAAGAATTAGACTAATAAGTGAGGAAAGTAGAAGATTCCTCTTCAGCTATGCAAATGTTTTCTTTAGCATTGCAGGTCAATGTTTGAACTGATCTCAGGAGTGGCTCCTACCAGCAGTGAATGCTTCCATGCACCTAAGAGCTGCTCCTTCTCACTTTCTCTCAAGTTCAGAGCATGAAAAAAGTGGAGACAGCATTAGGATTCACAGTTAGATAGGATATCTTACTTGAAAGAGAGAAAAATCAAATATTGGCTATACGAAGTGGATAGATGGGTGAGGTAAAAATGCCCCTCTGTTGTTTACAGACAAAGCACTTGTAATACTATTTCTTACGATCTTTTGGTTTATTCCTGTTAGTGCACATAAACATTCAAATGTAGAATATATGACTCTTGTCACATTGCAGATGATCCTGCTAGCATTGAAAGTGAGAAGCTAAAAAAACCATGATGTATACTTTGGCATATAAGAAGGGAACAAAGCAGTAGAGTGAAGGAATCATTATAGTGTCAGAAAGTCAATGGTATATTACTAAACATCCTCCAATTGATTCTTGTTGACTATTGATCACTATATCTAGGCATGGAGATGCTCATGGAAAATGTGGAGGGTACAATTCCATAAAGACATATTTTCAAGCCAAAGATAATTAGCAATATAATAATAATAATAATAATAATAATAATAATAATAATAAAATGATGCAGAACAGGATTACCAAAGGCAACTTTAGAAACAAAGGCTTCAAAGGCATTTTGAACTTAGATAAAGTGAAATGGAGAAATAAGATTATTTAGGAAAAAAGAAAAGGTATGAACTTAATGAACACAAGAAAGAAATTATCCCAGATGTGTATGGATAAAAAGCTATTGCAACACTATGGGAACATAGTGTTGAAGATATGTGTGAAACAGTGGGAAAATGTTTAGATACTTTGCTTGGTGCTTAGAATTCAAAACTCAAAACATGACTGCCCAGAAAATGGCAAATGGATAAAGAAAATGCACTATATGCAACAGAGTATTTGTAGATTCTTGAAAATACTATAACTGGGTTTCTTTTACAATCTGAAAAGATTCTTTTCCAGGGAAGTTATCATTTTTTGTGAATGAACCAAACACCTGAGAGTACCAAGCAGACATACCAGCATTACTTGGAGAGGCCTTTTCTATCACCACTCAGGATGTCAGCCTCCAACCTCAGCGGAAACAACCTCCCAGCCACTTTTTTTCTGACAGGAATCCCAGGAATGGAGACTATCCACATCTGGATAGCCATCCCCTTTTTCATCATGTACCTGGTGGCTCTGGCTGGAAATGCTGCCCTTGTCCTGATCATTATAATGGACAGTGCTCTTCATGAACCCATGTACCTCTTCCTTTGCCTTCTCTCCATCACTGACCTGGCTCTCAGCTCTACCACCATGCCCAAGACACTGGCAATTTTGTGGCTCCATGCTGGCGAGATTTCCTTTGCTGGCTGCCTAGCTCAGATGTTTTGTGTTCATGCTGTTTATGCTCTAGAGTCCTCAGTCCTTCTGGCCATGGCCTTTGATCGATACGTGGCTATCTGTGACCCTCTGAGATATACAACCATTCTCAACCATGGTGTCATAGGCAGAATCAGTCTTGCTGGAGTATTCCGTAGCGTAGCCATTGTTTCCCCCTTCATCTTCTTGCTGAAGCGATTACCCTACTGTGGGCACCGTGTCATGGCACACACTTACTGTGAGCACATGGGCATTGCTCGCCTGGCCTGTGCCAACATCACTGTCAACATTGTCTATGGGCTGACTGTTGCCCTGCTGGCTGTGGGTTTAGATTCTATCCTCATTGCCATCTCCTATGTCTTTATCCTGCGATCTGTCTTTTGCCTGCCATCTCGTGATGCCCGGAGCAAGGCTCTGAGTACCTGTGGCTCCCACCTTGGGGTCATTCTTGTCTTCTACATTCCTGCTTTCTTCTCATTTCTCACACACCGCTTTGGTAGACACAGTGTTCCCAAGCATGTGCACATCTTTCTGGCGAATCTCTATGTACTGGTGCCTCCTGTACTCAACCCAATCATCTATGGAGCCAGAACCAAGGAGATCCAGAGTAGACTTCTGAGAATGCTTCACTTGAGGAAGGACTCAGCGTGAGCAGAAACTTGACAAATGGAAAAGATACATGGGTAGAGAACTGTCTACATGCATTTACAACTTGAGCATCTGTGAATTTCTAAGAAATGACCTTATCTTTTCTTTCTTGTCTCAACAAGTGCTCAGATGTACAAAGAAGGTATTTCCTGATCTGGCAAAAATACTGTAACTTATGGTGGCACTATTATTCCACAGGTGGGGGGGGGGCCTTTTTAATCTGAAATTCACTATTTAGAGAAGTGATACAAGCACAGAGCCTAAAATCTCAATACTTGAGTTGAACCTCTGATTTTTCCCTTACTAGTTGTTGCATTTTGTTTTTGTTTTTTGTTGTGTGTTTTTTTTTCTTGAGCAAGTTAATAAATCATTCTTGCCTCATTTTACGCAAAATGTCAAACTTGTGATTATGATGAGATATAAATAAACAAATCAATGTAGAAAATTTAGCATAGTACATGACATGGAACGGTGCTCAATATATAAATATAAGATGATAAAGTTATTTAAACATCTCTAAATTGTATTAGTTAATTTATATATTTCTTTTACTTTACCATATAGTTATTGTGATAACTATTATAAAAATTGCAAAAAAATACATTATAATACTGAAACAGCACTTAGTCTATAATTGTTACTGTTGTTGTTAGTTACAACTGAATCAATTAATTCCAAATGCTAGCAAACATATGGACAAGAAAACAAAACACTGGAGGGAGGCGGTTAAGGAGGAACTCGAGCAACCATGAATGAATGAAAATTCAACTTTTCTGTAAACTTTTGTTAAAATCACAATAAAAGCAAACAAACAAAAAAACCAGGTGCAGCCTTCAAGGCTGCTTTACAGAAGTCAGTAGACCTCTGGCTAACACTGTAAAGGTGTGTCTTGAGCATTCAGGACTTCAACATCACTGGTCTTCTGAGACTGGGTTAGTTCACTCAGCATCATGCCCTCTAGACTCTCCCATGTTATATGATATTTTACAAAATCATTGTTCCTAAGGGTATTCCAGTGTGTGAGGGTACCACGGTTTCTTGCTCCATTTATTTCCATTTGGGCTGTTTCCATTTTTTTTCCCATTTTCTTGCTATCATGAATAATACTGCTATGAACATGGGTGTAAAAATCTCTAAGGTTTTTTTTTAAAAAAGTGAACTAGGGGATAGAGAGGAAAATGTACAAAGAATGAATTTTTTAAAAAAAGACATTTTAGGCAAGCTCTGCTGGCCTAGTAGCAAGAAGCTGCACTGCAATCCCAGAGGTATATGGCTCAAATCCACCAGATGCTCTGTTGGAGAAAGAGGAACAATCTTCTCCTTGTACCAGTCAGATCTGACTTGACAGTACACACACATAAACACACACACACAAAGAAAAATTAAAAAAATTTTAAAAACGAAACACGATATAGTACTGTACCATGCTTACAACTGTAGATAAATTTAAGTCCATTGTTGCAGTCACTGTGCTGGGTCAGTTCATGTCATTGAGATGATGATGATGATGGTGATGATGATTAATGAACTCTACTTTGTGAAATATTATGTGATTTTTTGGGAACTGGTCCCTCCTTATAACCTGTCTAAAGTATATCAGACCAAATCTCATCACCCTCACTTCTGTGGAGCATTCTAGGTGTACTTATCTATACTTGCAAGGAGCATTCTCACTGTATCTATACTTATCAATACTTCCAAGACATGTTTGCTGTTGCTTCTGCCAACTCATGGTCTATTCAATATTTTTTACCAGCCAGTCAAACATAGAAATTCTTTGTTCTTCCTTAGTAGGCAATTGAAAATATTGTAATTTGAGTTAGGTATACTTTTATCCTTATGATGACATCTCTGCTTTTTGGGATGCTAAAGAGGTCTTTTACAAGAGTAATTCTTATTTTCACTCTAATTAAGAACTTGGGATTCAAGAACCCTAGCAGTCCTAAGACTATATCATGTTATGACTATCTCATAATTTAATTTTAATTTATGATTGAAAGAATATGAGATCTGGATTTGGGTAATTTTCAGGTTAAATATTGATTTCTATATATTTATAAACAGCACACATTAAAGCATTCCATATTAAACTCCCCTAGTCTTAGTCTTTCTCCCAAGATTCTACGCCAGACACGGCCTTTCAGGGTTTAAGCAAGCCAGCACGCCCAAATGTGGCAAAGTCCTTCCGCCAGACCCCCAGTTCATCTGGCATGTCAGCTCTGCCGACCCCCACGTGGGCCCAAAGAACACCAAAATTACCCTGAGCCCTCAAACTCAAACCTGCCGTGCCTCAAGGAGCCAGAGTCCGGACTGAGCTGACATTAAGTCTCTCCCAAGATCATAGGCCTATGAATCTGGAGAGAGGATGGGAGACACCCAGCGTTGAGGACTCTCCTTCATAGGGTCACTATGAGTCACCTGAGACTCAACAGCACTTAACAACAATAACATCAGCATGGAGAGATCAGCTGGCCCAGTGGACAGAAAGCGATGCTACCAAGCAGAAGGTGGGTGACTTTTAATCTGCGGCCCTCGGGCCTGTCTTTCATTGTTTTTGTTCAGACATTCCTCTAGGTCGTATAGCCCTGGTGTACAAGTTGCCGTACAGCGGTCACTTGTGGTTGCTATGAGGCTGAACACTGTGACACTGATGAGTCAAATGTGTTAATGGTTGGCTGCACAATGCGAACAGAGAGTGGGGTGGAGCTTCCCGATTAAAACAAGCTTGGAAGGATGAGTGGCATCCACTTCCATAATAGCTTGCCTCCGGAAACCCTATGAACCTGGAGAGAGGAAGAAAGTCACCCAAGCATCAAGGACTCTCCTTCATAGTGTCGCTATGAGTCACCTGCAACTCGACGGCACTTAACAACAACAGTCTTAGTCTGCTTATTACATAGCCTGTTATGAGGAAAACACTCCATAAAGTTTTTAGTAATTGATAACATTTTGTTTTGTTATTGTCCATTATTATAGACTTGTTTCCTACATATGGTGACGTTATATATGGCAGATTTAGCATTGCCCAGTCCTGTGTCAAAGTGGAACTTTGAATATTTTAGATACTTGTCCCTAAATTAGTAAGACACGTTATTTTTGTGATGGTTACATTTTTTCAAATAATGTATGTTTGTTTCTTGTCTTTCTGAGATTTCATTACAGTATGCACCATGTTTGTGCTTTTACATGTTGTTGGTATTCAATAAATATTATTACTTAAATATTGTGGACTATACAGGTATACGTATGTGTTCAAATACCCCTTGTTGGATTAACTAAGAAAGAAATAATGTCCTTCTAGAGCTTATCTTAAGGGAGCTCTGGCAACATAGTCCATAGAGTATTAGGCTGTTAACACAAAAGCCTCTCTGGTGGTTCAAATTCACCAGTGTCTCTGTGGGAAAAAAGATTGAAATCCTTCAAAAACCTACTAGAAGCTTAGCCTTAAATTGGTTCCGAATCATCGGCAATGGCAATTGGCAGTACTATTGGAACAGAAATAATATGACACGTGACTGACTATCACATCAGAAATTTATTCTCTCATAGTTTAGGAGACTGGAAGTTTGGATTCATAGAGCCAGCTCTAGGGAAAGGATTCATTTCTCTATTAGCTCACAGTGAAAAAGGAAGTCTTTGCTTCATTTCCAAAGTTTTGGGCCCAGAATTCTTTGCTTATGTGTATGTGTCTGGACATCAATCTTACGCTGGCTATAGGAGACTTGCAGCTCATGGGCCTGGATCCAAAGTATATGCCCACTCTTGGCTCTTCTTCCTTGGTGCTTTTGAGGTCTTCTCTCTACTTACGTCTCTCTTCTTTTTGCTCTTACAAGATGAAAGGTATTACAGACCATATCCCAGGAAACTCCCCCAACAAGAGATGAAAGCTTTGGCAGGATTGAAGGGTTTGCATCCCACCCATTAATCTTGTACAATTAATTGTCTTACCAGATCATGATGGATTTTTCTAGAATTGCTATGTTATATCATTACATCTAAAACACTTAGAATCACAGCCTATACATGCTTTGTGGGAATAATATTCAGTCTATGACAGTGCTGTCGGGATAACTAATGACAATGAAGCCAGATGCCTTCAATAGGCAGTAAGTAACTTGGTTTTTATTTATTTATAATAAATGTTATCAAAAGGAAGATAGGATAAAAATAAGGGTAGAGGGAATGGGGAGTGTTGAAGTCAATAATGAAATTAAGGGAGAAAGTGGCACTAAGATCCTACTTGACAAAAGAGGGGAAGCTGAAATCCCAGTGACTGGAGAGCTCCAAATCTAGCCCATGAGATAGTTTCCTGTTTAGATATTTAAATATGGATATTTAAACAAATTTAAAATTAATGTTTTTCATAGTATTTAAAACATAATATATAATATCTTTTAAAATTAATTCATTTCATTTTTTTGTTTGGAATGTATCTTTACAAACTACACTGGTTTTTCATACAATGAACCAAGGCCAGTCATGCCTGCAACTTCAGAAGAACTCAGAGGAGGACAAATGAATATTCTAGAGACTGGAAGGGAGGTAGAAACAGGAGAGCCTGTGAGGTGGAAACAACAAAAAGATTAGTGAAGAATATAAGGAGATGGGTAAGATTAGGCTCTATCTGGGCCTCAAAATCCAGGCTAATACCAGGAAAAAAATGAGGAATCTCCTTAGGGGGCTCTGGCAGCCTGGTCTGTAGGGAGTTGTGCTGTTAACCCAAAAGCTGATCTTCTCTTGCAGTTCAAATTCACCAGGAGCTCCAGGGAAGAAAAATGAGGAGTCACCTCCCGTGTGATTTATCACCTTGGAAAAAACCATACAGAATTAACTATAAATTCGTTCTAACTCCAAATAAATGAATTTGTGGTTTTGAATTTTGCAAGTTTTATTAATTAATTGGTAACAAAACCTGATCATTTAATCTTAGCAGACTTCAACAGAAATCTGAACAGAAGTGAGGTATGTAACTGTCAAGGAAATGCAAATTTTCCTAAGATGAT